AACCATTAGTTCTAATAGCAAGTGATGTAGGACTGACAGCTTTGATACTCTAGGAATGGAAACTGGGTGGGTTCAGGGCAGGGCACCCCCTCCCCMTCCCCACCCCATAGTCAAGATACTCTACCCTGTCCCTGGTGGTGGGGCACCCACTCCCCATCAGGGATGGGGAATCCCCAAATTTTCCCTACCCCAAGGCAACCACCTAAAATAATCTAATTTGCAGATAATTTACAAATAGGACTATGGGAATTTTGGGGTATTTTAGGAATTGGATTATGACAATTTGGGGGTACTTTAGAAATGGAATTATGGGATCCTGGGATTTTAAGAATTTGAGGAAAACTTAGAGAAATTTTAAAAATCAATATTAAATCTAGGGATATTTTACTAATTTACCATTGGGTTCGGGGCTGGTTTGGGGAATTATACGCAAACCCCATCCATGGTTCAGGGAAAAATTATTTTTCCAGTCCCCACCCCTTTCCTGTTTAAGATTGGGGAATGGGGCTGGGCAGGGCCCTGGTTTTACGGGGAAAATTGGCATCCCTAATACTGACTAACATAGAACTGGAATTACATAAGGACAAGTCTAAGAGGACAATAATTGGCTAAAAACGTTTTAGGGATGATTTTAGAACTAAAAGTAAGGGTTAGGAGAGGTTATAAAGGTGATAAACCTACTAGAACTAAGAAAAACAAAAATCACAAAACTCTCAATATCATAAGAAAACCCAATAACCCTGAACTACTTAACCAATGACTATGAAACATCAAATAGAAACCAACTATAACCACACAAATCAGATGATAAAGATGGACCTCACAGACCTGTAAAATAACCAAAGTACTGAAAAAATCCAAAAATATATGATTTTTACAAAAAAAAAAAGTCAAATTTGACAACATTGCTCCTGCATTATGTTTGTTCCTTGTATACATGTCTTTTCTTAACAAAATTTTTATTTAGTATCTAAACATGGAAAAGAAAACAGTGAACCAGAGATAATAGACCCTCAAAGGCTCAAATCCCAGTCCATTTATTTCCAATCATTTTTTCCCTCCTCCTTTTGATAATTAAAATCCCTCTCTATATATCTTCCCCCTTATGTGCATATGGGGAAATTCAATACAACTCATTGCATTCACATAATATGCAATTTAGTTTTTAATTGTGCAAGCATGTGTTTTTACAAAAGGAAACACAAAGCATAGAGGAACAAGTGCCATAATCACCCAGATCATCTATGGCCTCATCATTGGCAGTACCTGGTTGTTGCTAGTTGAGCGCCATGGATGTTTTAACACCCCCCCCCCACCCCAAGTGCAATGGAGGTAAAGAAGCATGGGTGATGATGACCTAGGTATTTTATAGGCAATGCCTGATTCCACTGCTTCTCTGCAATTTTTCTTCCTTACAACCAAAAACATGTAAAAATGAATCATTTTTTTAACATAAGCTAAATGCATGAGGACTAACAGATGCCCAAACCATATAGCATCAATGAAGCGATTGAAAAAAATGAAAGTAACTTTAATTTGTCTTAGTACACACATTAGTCAGTGATGACAATAGAAACTGGCAAGGTTAATTGATTCCAAAGGAAAAGGATATGACCTGTAAAAGATAAGAAAAATGAAAGTAATCAGAAAGGAGTTCTACTTTTAATACAAAACACCATATAAAGTGGGTACTAGAAGATAGAAAATTCTCATGATATATGGTTATTGAAAGATGAGAGATTCAAATGAACAATGGAATTAGAATAAGCACAAATTTTTTATTTCGTAGTATTAGTTTTGATGCTTAAGTTATCAATTAAGAAGGCAAGACATGATAATTTAGTTGCTTAGGCCATGTTTGGTTCAATTCTCATTCTTTCTCATTCTTACCCAAGATGAAATTCTAAAATGGAAAAAAATGGGTAAAAATAGGCAGAATGAGAAACTATTGCTATGAACAAAACACTTTTTTTCCTAAAAATTAATTCTTTTCAGACTAACAAGTGTCCTATGTTACTCATTTTCATTCTTAAAAAAAAAAAAAATGTGCCAATATTCACAAACCGCCAGCCTAGGTCTCCAATAGTCAATATTTACCAATTGACATAGATGTTTCGAAAGTACTTTTATAAAAGTGTTTTCGTAAAAGTACTTTTGTAAAATTGCTTTCGCAAAAGTAAACATCTATGACAACAGTTTTATAGGTAGAGTTTCCTCAAAGAATGAAATGAGCAAGATGGGGCATGATTAATTTTCATGCTGCATGCTAGTCAATTTTTATGCCATGGGGCTGATTTTTCGTTCTAAAAAAGAATGTGGCCATTGGCAAGAATTTTGTAACCAAACACTCTAATTTTGTTCATTCTTGCCCATTCTTACCTAGAATGAGCAAGAATTAAGAGAATGAGGCCTAAAGCAGTGAACCAAACATGGCCTTAGTTTCTAGAGAGAAAATGGAAAATGAATCTCAGTGTGAATACAACCTCTGAGTGTTTGCTGTCATTACATGCAACAAACATGAACTCTTCCTTTCCTTTTTCTTTTTCTATCAATAAAAATAAGGAGCTTATATACACAGAGCCAAGGGCTAACAAGGAAACTTAAACCCCATGCAATAAAGTCACCAACTCAAACAAGAAAACCCACTTAACAATCCCCTAACACAATATTTGATTCACCAAAGAAAACAAAAAGAAAAACATAAGAGTCAGCACTTGATAGTCCCCTTCAACCACAATATTCTCAAACTCAAGGTAAACAAAAACTTCACTCCTTGTACCAGGGACCTGTTCTTGGACGATAACTCTGATTTATGAACAATCTCAATATTAATTTCACTTTCTATCTGTAGATGATTCTGAACAGTTTTGCCTAATTCATGTTTCATATCTAGTTCCAATTGGGCTTCAACATGCATAACATCACTTTGACATATTGTGTGCAACTTCCACTTGTAAATTCCTCAAACAGTACTGCCGCATTAAGAATACAAAACTTGAACTCCTAAGCAATGCAGCTGGGTCTTGTGAATATCGGGTTTTTTTTTTTTTTTTGCATTTAATTGTAAATTTTCAACTTTGCTCTGTCAAGGGGAGTTATGTCTCTAAAACACCAGATCACTACCAGGAACTGAGAGTGAAGAGGAGATGGAGAGGGCTTGAAGTGATGGAGTTCTCCAAGCAGCTAACAGGTGGGGATCTGAACTGGTTATCAAAGCAATAAAATGTTGTTTCAATATGGAAGGACTGAAGGTAAGAATCTATTGAAAAACAGAGAAGACAGGAGGGCACCAATCTTCCTGCCTGAGGAAGCTACATTATGGTTGAAGGGGTTTGTTGATGTAGTAGTCAACTGTATCAGGATAGTGGGCTGGAAAAATTCCATGGTCTTAATAGGGAAAAGATTTGAAGCTGAGCTGAGAAGGAATGGAAAGGGGTGCTTATTGCTGTTACAGAAAACTTCGATAACAATAGGAGACAGCTGATATGTGTGCTGGAAGGGAAGGAGGAACAGGGATGGATCTCCTTTTGGGACAAACTACAGCAGTTTCTCCTGTCTGTTGACAGGAACATAATTAAGGAAAAATCCACCACTACTGAAGTGCATAATGAGCAGAACCGTCCTAGTCAGGTGATGAAAGATAAAACCAATATGCAAGTGGAAAGTGAGGAACAGAGCCTCTCCCTTCATGGAGTAACGGTTGTGAGCTCGACAGGTTTTTAGAGGATGATGCTTGAGGCAGGAAGAGGTAAATGGGAACAGAGAATGGTTATAACAGTTGAAGAGGTAAAGGACCAGAGGAAGATATTGGATACAATGGTGCAGAAGTTAGTGAAGCTGATGCAGTCTTAATGTTGTTTGCAGACAGGAAGGCGGTCCTTGAAATTGGTGATTAGGAAAGGAGCTTTACGACGATCAAATCAGAAGAGGGTTTGATACAGGTACAGAACTGGACTCACTCTGCTGTGCTATGAGATAGAGGCCACACATAGAAATTTCCTGATAAAGCATTTAAGACTTCCATTTCATCTCTGGAAAGAAACGGCTATTGGGAACATAGTGAGAATCTTGGGTGTTCTGGAGAAG